TCCCCCTTCAGCCTCCCCCCACCCCCCCCAACCCCTAGCGGCACCAAGCCCAACAATATGGGCGGCAGCGCCTCACAGGGGCGCCGCCTGCCGGCACAAGAAGGTCATCGCAACGAAGGATTGGGGAACAACAGAATGCTTCAATGTAACGAATATGGTTTCATCCCCAGGAATGACACCAAGGAAGTTGTATTTGCACACCAGACTGCCATAAAGAAGACTCCCAGGAAGTCCCTTGGCAGTGGAAGAGGTGGACAGACTGCGGAGTCAGATGTTGAAGGAGAGGAGGGGGCGGACGCAGCCAATGTCAGAGGCAGATGCGCCGCCGCAGTGCAGGTCGGTGACTCTGCGGGGGACCCTAACCGTTACGGACGCTATCCGCATGGCAGGGGTCCTCCACCCAATTCCCAGTAGAATTACCGGGACAGTGAGCGTGGGGGAAAGAACCCGGGACCGGAGCGTGCTCGCGAAGGCCAGACCCTCACGGCGCCGGCCCCACCGCAGGCGACGCTTCCCCCCTGAATACGTGCGGAGACCACGTGGATGCGGACCACAGCTTTCCAACATCCTGTGCGGGGAGAAGTGATGGAAGGTACCAGGGCGCGGCAGAGCAAGGTAGACCGGTGACGCCCAATGTGGCCTGGGTGGTGGACCACCGCCCCGCACGGGGCCTCCTCGCCAAAGGTGGTTTAGGGAGGACGGCGGCGAAGACGACAAGGAAGATGGACGAGATGAGACCCCAGGTCAGCCCCCACACCCACGTCCCTCCCGCCGCAACCTCGGTTACCCATGCAGACGCCCAGAAAACCCCAAACCGCGAGACGGCAAAGAGGCCAAGGCAGCCGATCCACCGGCCGAGAGTCCGTCCACTCCCGACGTCGAGCAGGGCCACACGAGGTAAGTGTCCGCTTACCGGCTCTGCCATCATCCGGTTTCGTCGTCCAGCGGGAGGTGAGGAAGAAGTTCCGGCAATAAGAAATGCGCCCAAGATTGGAGCTTCAGCCCTTAAGGGGCCAGACAACCAGAACTATCGGCATTATTATTTTTACCTAAAGACGTCGGTTTTTGGTTAGTGACAAACGCAGTTTTTAAAAAAAGAAAAGGAAAAAAAGCCTGGTTTGTCTCAAGACACTGTTCAAGGTTTTCAAATGGTTTCCTATCTGGTCAAGTTGACATGTTTAAGAACTTCATTTTTAATGTGTAATAAAAGTTCACAACTCGATTTTTTTCCAAAAGTTAACGAACGGCAAGCACCTGTTAATAAAGGTCTCAAATAATAATAATAATAATAATAATAATAATAATAATAAAGGAAACAGCGTTGGCAATGAAGACACACAGAGTTTCACTCACAGAATTCCACACATACACCACACTCACACCACGGACACACAACCACACATAACAAAACACACACCCATTACATATATCACAGACACTCAACAAGTATTGACACGCACACACTGGTATGCACCCCAAAAATACCACCCACATGCGCGCACGCGCGCGCACACACACACACACACACACACACACAGGAAGAAAGAAAATAGTGTTGGAAAATGGAAATCTTGAGTAAACTGATAAAAACTTTTCAACAGTAAATAATTCCACAACGTATACGTATATCAAATTATCACATTGTCTGCTTGCAACATGTGCAATTATATTTGTCAAGTATTCCTCAAGAAGGTTAAAAACGACAAGAGAGGGTCACTGAACAAAGAGCACACCAATGATATCCCGCCAGTCTTAGGTTAGTAATAGTGGTATTTGTCCAATTAATTTCCATTTGCCATCCCGTGCGTGCCAGAAACTTTTAACCCCTACCCTTCCTTTGCTGTTGCAAGACAACACTTGCAAATCTGTTTTCTTCTTTTTTTCAGATAAGATAGCGCTAAGAGGAATGTTTTCTGTTTGATTCTCAATCCTGATACCCCATGATTTTTAAAAATATCTATTTTTTTAATTTATTTTAATCTTCATTTATTTTTAGGACAGCGCAAGCAGAGGAGGGGCAGAGAGGGGGACAGGGGATCCAAAGCGGGTTCTGCGATGACAGTCTGATGGCAGTGAGCCCGATGCGGGGCTCGAACTCACGACCCGCGAGATCACGACCCGAGCCGAAGTCAGACGCTCAACGGACTGAGCCACCCAGGTGCCCTGTGATTTCTTTTTTCTTAATTAACAATATCCTTCTATTGAAAAAGTAACAGGCACATAGTAAAATTTTTAATGAGGCAAAGGGTATATGATGGAAAAGATATCTCCCTACTGCCCTTGACATCCACGTCCTTTCCTTGGAGACGCTTGCTATTAAGAGTGTCTTATTTATACTTTCACCTAAAAGTCGTATCTGTTTGTTTTTCTTGTACACAGATGAGAGCATAGCAGTCACACTGTTCTGTATTCTGCCTTTGTACCCTTAACCGTCTATCTCAGGAACTTTTTTATAGGTACATATGCATCTATCACATTCTTCAAACAGCTGATCATCGTACAGAATGTGTTTAAACGTTTACCTGAAGGAAAGGCACAAAGGGTGTTTTGACCCTTTGGCTATTATAAACTGACCTGTGATAAACGTCCTCGTGCGTAGAGGTACAGATATTTTAGCATGTAATATCTCCAGGGTAGAATTCAAGTATTGACGGTAAGACAGTTAACGGGCCGGATAATATGTGAATTTTTTTAATGCTGATACGTGTTCTTAATTGGTCCCCACACTAATGTCGTCGGTGGCACCTTCAACCAACAACACGAGAGTGTCTCACAGTCCACGGCCGCCTCTACTTCAGGTAGGTGACTCCTCTTCTAGGTGTGACCTGCTACTTGGAGCTTTAGCAAAGTGGTAAGAGAAAAAGTGTTATATCCTTGTCTTCATTTAGGTTTTTTAAATTACAGGTAAGATGAAGCATCTTTTTGTACTTCCAAGTCATTTACAAATATTTTTTCCTGATTTGCCTCTTTGTACACTTTGCTTATCCTTATATTGGCTCGTCTTTTTCTTATTCAGAAGGGCACTTTTTTTTTTTAATTTTTTTCAACGTTTATTTATTTTTGGGACAGAGAGAGACAGAGCATGAACGGGGGAGGAGCAGAGAGAGAGGGAGACACAGAATCGGAAACAGGCTCCAGGCTCTGAGCCATCAGCCCAGAGCCTGATGCGGGGCTCGAACTCACGGACTGCGAGATCGTGACCTGGCTGAAGTCGGACGCTTAACCGACTGCGCCACCCAGGCGCCCCAAAAGGGCACTTTTTTTAAAAAAGCTTATTTAAGGGGCGCCTGGGGAACTCAGTGCGTTAAGCGTCCGACTTCAGCTCAGGTCACGATCTCACAGTCCGTGAGTTCGAGCCCCGCGTCGGGCTCTGTGCTGACAGCTCGGAGCCTCCAGCCTGCTTTGGATTCTGTGTCGCCCTCTCCCTCTGCGTCTCCCTGACTTGTGCTCTGTCTCTCTGTCTCTCTCTCTTTCAAAAATAAATAAATAAAACTTTATCATAAATAAAATAAGGTTTATTTATTTTTGAGAGAGAGAGACAGTGTGCAAGCAGGGGAGGGGCAAAGAGAGAGGGAGAGAGAGAGAATCCCAAGCAGGCTCTGCACTGTCAGCGAGGAGCCAGATGCAGGGCTCGAACATGAGATCATGACCTGAGCCTAAATCAAGAGTCAAAGGCTTAACTGACTGAGCCACCCAGGTGCCCCTGAAAGGGCCCTTTATATCCTCGGAAGCCTAGTTCTTTTTATGTCAAACACATCGTCAATATTTTTTCCAGCTGCCATTTATCGGGTGACTTCTCTAGGATGCTTTTTACTGAGAAAATGTGTTAATTGCTTACGTCGTTAAATTTATCATTATTTTTCGGTAAAGATTTGGGCCTTGTGTCTTGCTGTAGGGAGGCTTTCTCTATTTCATGGATGTAAAACATTTTCCCCAAGTTCTCTTCCAAGAGACGTTTTCCAAATCCATTCTTCCTGTGTAAATCTTTGAGCGGTCTGGCATTTATTTTTAAGGAAGGAGTGCATTAAGAATCTAGGTTTCTCTCTTTTTCTTTCTAAAGAGATAGCCAGTTGTCCCAACATCATTTATTGAACTATTTGTCTTTTCATCACTGGAAAAAATACCGTTTATCATATACTAAAGTCCTATCATTAGTCGGGTCTATTTTTGGACACTTTTCTGTTTCACTGATGTATCTATGCCTGTGCCGGTACTGAGCGGTTTTATTTACTGTACATAGTTAGTACATTTTATTATCTGGTCAGATGAGCCCTTCTGTTATTTTTGTTTTTCAGGAATTTTCTTTGCCCATTCTGTTCTTTTCTTAAAAGCATATTTATTTGGGGGCGCCTGGGTGGCTCGGTCGGTTGAGCTCCTGACTTCGGCTCAGGTCGTGATCGCACGGCTTGTGAGTTCGAGCCCCACGTCGGTCTCTGTGCGGACAGCTCAGAGCCTGGAGCCTGCTTTGCATTCTGTGTCCCTCTCCCCCTCCTCCACTGTGTGCACTCTCTCTCTCTCTCTCTCAAAATAAATTTATTTATTATCACGTGTGTGAGTGGGGCAGGGGCAAAGGGATGGAGAGAGAGAATCCCAAGCAGGCTCCATGCTGACAGCGGGGGCTCCATGTCCGGAACCGTGAGATCATGACCTGAGCCGAAACCAAGACTCGGACACTTACCCGACTGAGCCACCCAGGTGCCCCTTGCCCCTTTCTGTTCTTAACTTATGTCTCCAAAAGTTCACCTCTAGCTCCGTGAACCTCGAGTGGTCAGTGCCGTGTTCCCCTCTACTTCACCCTGTCGGTGAGGACGGGAGTCCTGCTCTGGGGCCACCAGGATGGTCTAGCACACGACAGACACTTTACAGGTGAGTTTGACACAAGTTTGTTAACCACATATGTTCACCATCTGGGGGAGGAGGACACGCGCCATGTAGGGCCACACAGGTGTTCCATTCCAGAACAGAGGGAACCAACAGGTGCAAGGGAAGGCCGGCCTTGTAGTTACAAGAGGATGGGGTGCCCCCTGCTTCCTGCGGAAGGAAAGGATTGGTTTGTCTAAATTTCTCTGGCTGGAGGGTTGCCGAAACCTTCCCCAGCAGGCACCGTGCCTGGTCTGTGTGCTAATGGGGGTTGTTTGCTAGAAGACCATATCCACGTGAGCACGGTGGAGTGGAACGTGCAGCTGGGCTCTTTGAGACCCTCTTCGTTTTCCCAAGGTATCGAGATACGCACCAGATTAGGCCTTACTCCACAACCGACCCTTGAGGCCTTGACCTCGATTTCAACCTTGATGATGACTGAGCCTTCCGGAGAGTATGGTAAGTACCTCCCTAGGAAACGAAATACGTAGCTACTTGACCAAGAGGAAGAGGGCCACAGGGTGAGGTTGTTGTAAAAAACATAGACTTTGGAAGTGCCCACCTTGATAGGCGATAAAGTATATTGACAGACCTGTGTGCCACTGTTGTAGGGAGTGTTTGTCCCCAGGGGATACAAATGGAGATAAATCAATGCCAGTGGCAAAGGTGACAACCCGCATGGGCTCCATCTGACATTCTTTAAGTTAAATAGGAGTTTTTTAAGAAGCGCATTCTGCCTCCTGATTACACCATCTGCCTGGAGTCTGCAGGAAAGGTGGAAATTCCACTGTATGTCTTCTTCAAGAGCTCAACATTGTGGCGGGCACCTGGGTAACCTAGTCGGGTAAGCGTCCAACTGTTGATTTCGGCTGAAGTCATGATATCACGGTTCATGAGTTCAAGCCCCACATGGGCTCCATGCCCACAGTGAAGAGCCTACTTGGGGTTTTGTCTCTCTCCTTCTCTCTCTGTTCATCCCCTGTTCGTGCACTCACTCTCTCTCTCTCTCTCTCTCAAATACAATTTAAAAAAAAAGAGCTCAACATTTGGCATTCTGAGAATCAAAACTAGTGCTTTGGTCACTATCAGTAATGCCTAGAATTCCAAAGGGCATAAGGAGCATCTTGTGGCTGTGTTGTATGCAGAGACAACGTGTTTTCCATTTTGGGGATCTGTGAGGCAAGAGCTACCCAGTATTCTTTACCCCAAAGGAGAAAAATTGTAGGCAGTGGTCCATGAGTTTGTAAACTTGTACACATGGGGCAATTTTTTGGCCAGGGTGTCCAACGCTACAATGCCCGTCTGACATGTGACCAATTATGCTGACCCTTGAGTCTCTTTCTTTGCAAGGAACGTTATTATTTTGGTGGGGGTGGGGGGAGAAGGAGAGAGAGAGAGTAAGCAGGGGAGGGGCAGAGAGAGAGGGAGACAGAAACCCAAGCAGGCTCCACATTGTCAGCACAGAGCCTGATGTGGGGCTCGATCTCACGAACCCTGAGATCGTGACCTGAGCCGAAACCGAGTCAGATGCTTCACTGGCTGAGCTACCCAGGTGCCCCAGTATCAGGGACCTTCTGATGAAACGATGAAAAACACCTCCCCACTGAACTCTATTGTGCATGAAGGTGGCAAGACCATCCATAAAGTGTACGAACTCCCATGGTTATGTACTCAGCTGATGCTAAGGACTCTCCAAGTGGCCAGTGGGTCTGGGAGAGAGGTGACATCCTCCAGCACCATGGCATCTGGCAAGGGACTGATGACGGGAGAGGCTACATGCACCTGCAGGAGGTCTCCGTAGCCATGCTGACTTTGGGGGTGCCTCTTCTGTTACTGAAGGCATAGTGTGCAGCCGGGTACATAACGTTGTAAACTCAGAGCCCGTGAGGGCATCTGATTCCGGGACAGCACACTACGTGGCCACCGTTGCCATTCCAATTGCGAATGGTGCAGAACTGGGAGGGACAGTCTATTGTATCAGAAGCCCGTGGCCAACGAGTGGCTATGATAGGTGGTTCAGAGATTCCGGGGGGCATAAGAGGAGGCTGGTACAGCCCCTACGGTGAAGGGGTCTCCGTGGGCAGTAACACCAGTGCCTGTTGATTTATTTCAATTCGGACAGATTCTAGAACTTTTTTTTTTTTTTTTTTTTTTTTTTTTTTTGAGACACAGAGAGACAGAGCATGAGCAGGGGAGGGGCAGAGAGAGAGGGAGACACAGAACCGGAAGCAGGCTCCAGGCCCCGAGCCGTCAGCCCAGAGCCCGACGCGGGGCCCGAACTCATGGACCACGAGATCGTGACCTGAGCCAAAGTCGGACTCTTAACCGACTGAGCCACCCGGGCGCCCCAGATTCTAGAACTTTGTGTTGGCGAAGACTTCATTTCAGGTGGGCCCTTTGGCAAGTAACAGCACCAGGGGGTTGAAGTACGATTATAAATGAGGAATATGTTGCCTCCAGAACGCAGAAAGGGCTAGAAGACGTTGGACTCGTGTTAACGTTGGGTGCTGAAAGGGTTAATCAGCGTTTCTTGACAATGTCGAAGGTGGAGCAGCTCTCGGTTTCCTGAAGGCTTTTCTGGAATTGGAGAGACGGCCAGGACCCTGCACCGTGTGTGGCAACGATCCGTCCCTTTTCCGTGAGCTCCGTCGTGAGTATATCTGTGTCCTTCATCCGTGTGTCCAACAAGTCTCCTTGGGGGAAGATGCCACCCACGTCACGTCATTTCCGTGTCCCGGGCAAAGGTGGGTGCAGTTAGGGTCCTGCCGGCAAAGACGATGCGTAACGCCAAGGCTGCTAAGTTCCCTCGTGAAGCCTGGTGAAGGTGTATTGTGTCCTTTCAGGGGGAAAGGCCGCCGTGCTCACAGGCTGTTGAAATAGACGCTGAACAGGTGCGTGGGCGGCTCAGCCGGTTAAGCGTCCGACTCTTGGTTTCGGCTCAGGCCGTGATCTCGCTTCACGGTTCGTGGGTTCGAGCCCCGCCTCCGGGTTTGTGCTGGCAGCACGGGAGCCTGCTTGGGATTCTCTCTCCGTCCCTGTCTCTCTGCCCCTCCCCCACTTGCACTGTCTCTGTCTCTCTCGAAATAGATAAACGTAAAAGAAGGAAACAGACACCAAACAGAGCATATTTGCCAAATCTCGATCTATAACAGCAAAACGGTTGCCAGTGGCTGATTGACTAGAATCGGTAATTATAATGATATTGGGCGTAGGGGCCTGAAGTTGGTGGTGGGCTCACCGCGAGGCACCATTCATTCTTTCCGGGTTTAAGACCAGGCCAAAACGGGATATTAAACGAGCAGTAGTTGGCATCATCACCCTTGCGCTCACTAGGGCATATACAAGTTGAAATCCTTGAGGACCCCGGTTTAATTTACGTAGGGTGATATTAACTCTGTTAAGGGGGTAAGGGGATTGTTCTGAGATACTGACGACTGCAGCAAGGTAGAGGGACAACCCGAAGGTGGCATCCACCAGCCTGTTTTCCTGAGAGCACCTCCAGAGACCTCTAACTGGGTGCCAAATCTGAGGCCTGCCACCGAGGCCAGCGCTCTCGGACGGGCCAAGAGGCCTCTGGCACAGAAAGACCGGGGGTGTGTTTCAGTCAGCTCTGTGTGCAGTGCCCCGGGGGGCGGTGGCCTGCCAAGAATCCTCCCGTCTGATGGTTCCGGTTCCATAGGACCCAGGAACGTTAGCCCCGTCCCCCCGGCCGCCATGGCCAAGTGACCAGAGGACATGCCCGGAGTGGCAGCTGCAAAACCCGGGTCACCAGACCTGAGGAAAAGCCACCCTCCGGGAGACGCTGACATTCCAGAGCGCGGCAGAGGGAGAGCGCAAACGTGGCACCCTCCAGCCTCTGTCCCTGCAGAGGATGCCAACAGGCCCCCAGATCTGGTAAAGCAGAGGCCTGCCCCTCAGGCCCACACTTTAAGATTAGCAGATGAACCTGGGGCACCGGGGTGGTCAGTCAGTCAAGCGTCCCGACTCTCCATCTCAACTCAGGTCATGATCTCACGGTTTGTGAGTTCAAGCCCTGTGCCGGGCTCGGTGACGTCAGTGGGGAGCCTGCTTGGGATTCTCTCTCTCTCTCTCTCTCTCTCTCTCTCTGCCCCTCCGCTGCTCACACACTCTCTCTCAGAAGAAATAAATAAACTTAAAAAAATTAAAGCATAAAGATTAGCCAATGAACCTCTTTCCCGTAAAACTCTGGCCCCTCTGGATTGGCTCTCTTTGTCCTGGGCCCGGGGACAGGTGAGTCTGGGCACGTGTGCCCTTTAAGAGCCGGTCTTAGCTTGCTGTAGCCTTGTGGGTTTTGTGAACACAAGCCTTGTTGGTTTGCAAAGCCAGGTGTGTTTGGGGGTTGTCCCTGAGGTGCAGTTTTTCAGCGTCGGGGTGCCCGATGCGGGGTTCAAACCCTCCGCTCCTCAGGAGAAAGCGCCGAGTTTTCCATTCCTTCTGGATCGCAGCTGCCAAGCCAGGAGTGGTGTTTATGGTGAGATTATGTCTCAACTTCACGTTCCTGCTGCAATGGTATGTTTT